AGAAGGAGGAGCCCACGCCACCGAGGGGATCCCCGATCCGCACGCCAACGCCGCGCCGTCGGAGCCGCCCGCAGCCCGCACGCCGGAGCTCACACCCACCGGTGCCGTTGAAGATTAGGGATATGGTGGCGGAGTCGTTGCTGTCAGTGTCGCAGCAGTCCCCCGAACCATCCGTGACTGCGACGGCGAAGCTGTCCAGAGAACCATCAGCGGACGTGGCGCCCAGATAATCTCCCGCCTGATCCAGAACCACCACATGAACGTCAGGAAAAAGGACCGGCTCGGGAGCATCAGCTGGCACTGCAACGAAAGGGTCGCTCTCGATGGAACCGGGAGGAGGGAGGACAGAGGAGGAGAAGGAGGAGGACGGGGAGGAGGGAAGGCGAAGGAGCGAGGTGGAGGACGGGCAGCAGCAAATGGAGACCGAAGCGGTGCCCGCCCCGGCAGCCAGATCGCCCCCTTGGGCCAGAGGTGGCCATGGTCCGTGGACCTTCGGTGCCCTGCATCGACGATGGCGCCGACGCTGACGCCGACGCCAGCGCCGACGCGACAACGACAACGACAACGACAACAACAACAACAACAACAACAACAACAACCAAAACAACAACAACAACAACAACAACAACAACAACAACAACAACAACAACAACAACAACAACAACAACAACAACCATTTTAAGGCTGTACGCTCTTACTTGCCCGCGAGTCATTCAACACGTATACCCTACACCCTCGATGCCCGCCCTCTTCGTCTTCGATCACACCCCTTTCGGGGGGATTATTTCTCTTTGCTGGGGCCGGCGGGCTTAGACGTACGGGCAAACCGGAACGGGCGGACAATCCTTCGGGGGCGTACATCTCTCTGCCCGCCATTGGAATTGGCGCGGGCCCTGCAAGAGGAGGAGGGGAAGAACGAGGGAGAGTGGGAGGAAGGGGAGGGGGAAGGACGAAGGAAGAGGGAAGATACCACGTTGTGAAGGCGTCCTTGGCGCGCGCGTGGTTCCTGAGCGCCGAAACGCAATTCCAGAATAATTTGTGAGGACGTCGCACGCGAGAGCGCAGTCCTGAGTACATTGTGAAGAAATCTCGGGCGGAAGCGGGGGCCCTGACTAAGTTGCGAGGAAGTCTCAAGCGGGAGCGCCGTTCCTGAGCAAATGCACGGAAGTCTCAGGCGGGAGCGGGGGTCCTCACTAAATTGCGAGGAGTCTCAGGCGGGAGCGCCGTTCCTGAGTCAATTGCGCGGAAATGTCAGGCAGGAGCGGGGGTCCTGAGTAAAATTCGAAGAAGTCTCAGGCGGGAGCGCCGTTCCCACGTAAATTGCACGGAAGTCTCAGGCGGGAGCGGGGGTCTTGATTACATTGCGAGGAAGTCTCAGACGGGAGCGCCTTTCCTGAGTAAATTGCGCGGAAGTCTCAGGCGGGAGCGGGGGTCCTGAGTAAAAATCGAGGAAGTCTCAGGCGGGAGCCGTTGTTGTTGTAGCCCGGGGGGCAGGGGCACAGTTTGAGCAGGAAGACTTTCCTTGAGAAAAAACCAGGTGCGAGCCCCGGGGGTGGCACTTCAATCGAAAAAAATCAATGTGCACCGGTGGGGGGGGATCAACAATAATTATTCTTCAAGAATGAGAGTTCAACAACAACAACAACAACAACAACAACAACAACAACAACAGCAGCAGCAGCAGCAGCAACAACAACAACAATCATGTTAAGACTGTTCGCCCTTATCTGCTCGAGTGTCCAATAACGTGTGTTTCACAAACCCTCGATACCCGACCTCTTCGTCTTCGATCGAACCCCTTTTGAAGGGTATACCTTTCTTCCCTGCAGGCCCGGCCCCGGCAAGCGGCGGGGCGGCCGCGGACCATCGGCCTGGCCTGCGGCAGCGCTGATCGGCGGGGCGGCCGCGGACCGTCGACCCGACCCCAAGAGGGACGGACAGGGGACCGACCACGACGACGACGACGACGACGACGTCGCGACGGCGACGACGACGACGACGACGGCGACGACGAGCGAAAGCGAGAGCGAGAGAGAACGACAGCAGGGCCACGAAGGACATGAAGTAGGCCACGAAGGGCGACAGCGGGGACACGAAGGGAATGCATATGGAGCCACGAAGAGCGCGAACGAGCGGGGGCCACGAAGGGCAGATAATGCGGGGCCACAGAAGGCAACGATGGGGCCACTGAGGGTAGCAACTGGGCCACGTAGGACAGTGAGGAACGGCCACAGCGGGGCCACGAAAGGCATGCACATGGGGCCACAACGGGCGCGACTCCTGGGTGCCTGGGTGTCGGGAGCGCGGCGATTAAGCAAATGGCAAGAAATTCCAACGCAAGGGCGCTATTCTTCAGTAAATTGCAAGCAAATCTGCAGCGAGAGCGCGACTCCAGAGCGCCGGGAGAGCGATTCCTGAATAAATTGTAAGGAAGTCCAAAGCGAGAGCGCGATTCCTGAATAAGAAACGAGGAAGTCTCGGGCGGGAGCGGGGGTCCTGGCTAAATTGTGAGGAAGTCTAAGGCGGGAGCCGTTGTTGTTGTAACCCCAGGGCCACGGGCCCGGTTTGAGCATCAAGACTTCCCGTCAAAAAACAGCGTGCGAGTGTCCCTTGTCACACTTTGATTGAGAGAAAACAGTATGCACCGGTGGGGGGGATCAACAATAATTATTCTTCAGAAGTGAGAATTCAACAGCAAGAACAAGAACAACAACCACAACAACAGCAACAACAACAACATCAGCAACAAAACAACAATAACCACAACAACAGCAGCAACAGCAACAGCAACAGCAACAGCAACAGCAACAACAGCAGCAGAAGCAGCAACAACAACAGCAACAACAACAACATGGACAGAGATCTTCCCTGGCCCCCGGCGCCCGGGGCCTCTCCAGAGCTCTCCTCCAGGGGGGGCAGGAGTCGTCCCTGGCCCCCGGGGTCCCAAACACCCCCCCAACAACCACAACAACAACAACAATTACAGCAACAACAACAACAACAACAACAACAACAACAACAACAACAACAACAACAATCATTTTACCCGAACGCTCAGTGTTCTCACCAGTGCCAGGGTTTTCATGCGACGCGAGACAATACCCCCACTTCGTGGGGGGGCAGTTCAAGCTCTACCAAATATCCAAACGACTCTTCGCGACCACCCAAACCCAGCTTCCCGCCCTATGACGTTGGGACACTTCACTTCGTGGCGTGCGGACGACCGTGGCTACTACACTGGCGTGGGGTACACACCCACAGAACTTGGTCACTTATTCGGGGCGCGCGTGTGCCCAGCATCCTGCAATTGTGACATACAATACATGACACAGACAGACAGAGAGAGAGACAGAGAGCAGACAGAGAGAGAGACAGAGAGAGCGGAGTTGGTCACATTTTTGGGGCAAGTTCCTGAGATCGTCGTGTTTTTTGTTGGTCTTGCGCGCGCGAATGTCCACTTTACTTTTTTTTTTTGCAAGGGAGTATTGAAATTTGATTATGTTAGAACAAGAAAAAGTAGCTCGCGCGAGCTCATGTAACATAAATGTTGAAAAACCATTGGTTTTGTGGGAGTCGGACAGCGCGCGCGGGATGAAATTTGGACATTTTTTTTTGAAAAACCATTGGGTTTTTGATGTTTTTATGTTGAAATCGTTACGAAACCTAAGGTTCTGGAAGGATTTCGTCTTGCGCGCGCGAATGTCCACTTTACCTTATTTTTTGCAAGGGATTATTGAAATTTGATTATGTTAGAACAAGAAAAAGTAGCTCGCGCGAGCTCATGTAACATAAATGTTGAAAAACCATTGGTTTTGTGGGATTCGGACAGCGCGCGCGGAAGGACATTTTGACAATTTTTTCTTAAAAAACCATTGGGTTTTTGATGTTTTTATGTTAAAATCGTTACGAAACCTAAGGTTTTGGAAGGATTTCGTCTTGCGCGCACGAATGTCCACTTTACCTTATTTTTTGCAAGGGATTCTTGCAATTTGATCAAGTAAGAACAAGCATTTTCATTTTATAATGTTTTTTGCAAGGGAAAACGGAGTACAACAAAACAACCGGATCCGGACACAATCGTTTTGCCTGAGACTTCCTCACGAAAATGATGAAAATGTGGCTGCGGCCTAGGCGCGGCGGGGGGGTCGTGCACCAGGGGTCCCAACAATAATTATTCTTAAGAAGAAATAATGTTCAACAACTACAACAACAAGAACAACAACAAGAACAACAATAACAACAACAACAAGAACAACAACCAGAACAACAACAACAACAACAACAACAACAACAACAATAACAACAACAACAACAACAACAACAACGACAACAACGACCACAACAACAACAACAACGACGCCGGGAATGAATACAAAACAAAAAAATGAGGAGTCCCTCAGGACTCCGGTTCTGAATCGGAGTGGTGACTTACGTGCGCGCGCTAGCGAAGCGAGGAATTCGATGGGCCCTTGAGGATTCTTAAAGAAACCTTATAGGGATCCTATATAAACCCTATAGGGATCCTAAAGGGCCCTTGTGAGGATCCGACCAATTTCAATAGGACCCCTTGTAGAGATCCTACCAGCAGTAACAGGGTCCGTGTAGGGATCCGACCAGCTGCAACAGAATCCGTATACGGATCGTGCCAGCTGTATTAGGATCAATATAGGGGCCGTGCCAGCTGCGACAGGATCCAAATAAGGACCCTACCAGCTGCGATGAAATCCCCATAGGGATCCTACCAGCTGTCATAGGATCCCTATAGGGATCCTCCCAGCTGCAACAGGATCCTTATAAGGATCCTCCCAGCTGCAATAGGATCCCTATAGGGATCCCCACAGCTGTGGTGCGATGCCTATCGGCACTGATACAGCTATGGCTGGATCCCTATAAGCATCCATACAGCTGCGGGAAGAGCCCGATCGGGATCCAAACAATTGCGGTACGACTTCTATATGGACTCATACAGCTGTGGCAGGGTCCCTATACGGATCCATACAGCTCTAGTACGACCCTTGCGGTACGATCCCTACAGGGACCGACACAGGCGCGGCGGGATCCCTATCGGGAACCACACAGCCGTGGGACGATATCTATAAGGATCCACACAGTTGTGGCAAGATCCCTGTAAGGATCCATACAGCTGTGGTACGATCCCCATCGGTAGCCATACAGATGAAGCATGCTCCCTGTAGGGATCCGTACAGCTGTGGCTTATTCCTATAGGGACCGATAAAGCTGTGGCAGGACCCCTTATAGGGATCCTCCACATTTGTGGCACGATCCCTTTAGAGACCCATACAAGTATAACTGGATCCCTATAGGGACCGATGCAGATGTGGAGAGATCCCTTGGCGGACCCATACAGCTGTGGCGCGATCCCTGTCGGGATCCATACAACTGTGGTTGGATCCCTATAGGGACCCCTGCACCTGTGGTAGGATCCCTATACGGATCGACACAGCTGTGGTACCATCCCTATGGGGAATCATACAGCTCTGGTAGGATCCGTATAGGGACCGATATAAGTGTAGTACGATCCCTATACGGATCCATACAACTTATGGCAAAATCCTTACAAGA